TAACTCGCTTTTCGGCTCCTCGAGCTTTCTCTCCCTCCCTCCCTCCTGCACAGTTTCCTACCCCTGCCGATTTTCCACCTATTCACACCCTTGCCCCCCTTTGTATTGTTCCGTCTCTCGACTAAAAACAACGGTACACACGCTGCCGGTTGCCTTCTGCCCCACGCAGAACACGGCTTTCACCAACGTCTGCGACTGTCCACTCTCTCTCTTTCTTTCTCCCTTCCTTTCCCTTATCTTTCAATCTACCTTCGAACCATTTCCCGAGGCATGCTTTCCCTCGTACACGTCGACAAATTTTTCGCTTTCCTTCCAAATTTTTACCTGCTTTCTTCCTCTATACTTTATCGTCGTTTCACTTTTTCTCATCCTTGCTATGTTTCTCTTGCTTTCGCCTACTTTTCTTTATTACATACTATGAATTCGAGAAATTGTTGCATTTTTGATAAACGTGTGCGTGTGTGTGTGCGTGCGTGTATCGTGCTGGCTTTTGCTCCCAAGCATTTTTCAACAACCTGAATATTGTCGATGGATTCCTCTACAGGACACCGCTACGTTATATGCCGTCGACTTCGATCGACGCGCGCGAGGTCGAGTGGCTGAAAAAGACTCACTAAATCGGGCTACCCTCCGATTCAACTTTGCGCCTTGTTCCTTCACTGACCTACTATCATCTACATTTCAGAATGTACATTTAGCAGGAAAATCGTATTAATCATTTCCGACTACACTTTCTCCCGTTTCTGCTATTCTGCCTTCTTCCCTGCTTTTCTTTTTATAGGAAAGCAATTTTGCTGAAATGAAAGATTTGCCTGAAAGTCGTCGACGTGCAGATTCCAATTGGTCCCGTTACAATCATTGATAAAAGAAATGTAACTCACACTTGTACCTACTTTCTAATTTCGATTCAACGTTCGAAAGTAGAACGAAAACGTACGATCTGAAAGATTAAAGAAACAGCATCGATGCAACCGATGTTGTTCGAAACATACCTGTGAACGATGCGGCAGTGCCACCGCGTTAGCATCCAGAGCGAGCACGTTTTCTTGCGCACGGATATACGCATGCACGAGAAGGCGTATCCTACCAAGGACGTTTCGCAGCATGCCCTCTCCTTCTTTCTCTCGTGCACTTGCTCGTTCCCTGTTTCAAAGTTAGGTCGAGAGTATCGCCGCGCATGACCACGAACCAAGGGAAATATTCGCGAATCGATAATTCGCGAGCGGCTGCAGCAACAGCAACGGGTTAGTCACGCGAACGGGTAGCCCATTCGATTATTACGAGCCAATTCGCGCTGTGCTAACCTCTAAATTACTCACGCTGCTTTCGTTGCCTTTCTTTCTATCTTTTGTATCCGTATCCCCAATTTCGGAACCTTCACCTCTTCCGTACCAACAACTGCACTGTCAGTCGTTCAACTTGCAATATTCCTATAGCGCTCTCTTCATCCTTCCTAATTCTTAGTTTTTCCTCAAGACACGTGGTCATTTTGCATCCTAAATCAAAATATAGTCATAGAAGATTCACTTGACACACTCCTAACAGTCGTACTGCTACGTACTGCACATGTGTGCCTTGTAACAAATTCTTTAACTTGGTTCAAGTTCGTAAAAGCGGTGCTTATTTCGATCAACTATATTAAAAAACGTTATAGTAAAAAACACAGATGCACAAAGCGATTGTGATAACGTAAGCGTAAAAGTCTCGTTTATGTGCACGCATTGCACGATATCTCAAACGTAGCCTGACGCGCGTCTATGAGTTTCACTCTGCTATCGTATATTACCTACACCTGCAATAGAAACTTTCATTTTTATCGATCGATACGAAGATAAAAATTTCTCGATAAGACGTAACAGATGATTGTTTAATTATCGTCTAATACCCGTAATAACTCCTTCCTTCTAACGTGGCCCACTAAACATTACGTAACAGTTGTTTCTTTTTCGAGTATGATTATAACGATAAAACATCAACATATTACATCCTCGAGTTGCAAAATCGTTATCTAACGTAAAATTTTATAACATACATATTCCAGCATCGATATGTACATCCATGAATGTGCAGTTTGCGTGGTAACATGGTTACGTATTATTTAAACAGTTAGTAGTCTCGTTTCGAATACAGCGTTGCTCACCACCTCTATAATATATCGAATTATACAAATAAATACGCAATTATTTACGATAAACTGATTGTAAATGTCTAACCGTATCATTTTTACTCATCATTTCTAACCAACAAATAAGACCTGTTAATCCGGTTGTTGTGGTCTCATCGATATCCTCCGTGAATTACATCGTGATCATTCAAAGTTTACACAATTACATGTGAACGTGTCGGAAAGTAATTGGTTAGTCGGATCGAACGTGCTCGATTTTGTGATCACTGCATGTAAAAAAGCAGCAAAGAGGTAGAAGAAAAAGGGACGTCGAACAGTATGAGTAAGAGAAGAGGAAAGATCAAGAGGATGAATAAGAAAGATTCAGAGGTGGAGGAAGAAATCCGGGTTGCTGCGATAGCGAAGGTGGAGAGGATGAGGCTATTCGGAAGGCTGAAGAGGCCCAAGCTACCAAGAACGAAGCACGATCTTTCCTCGTCATCGTGACCGTCTCTGAGTGATTTTTACATAACAAGGAGGCGAATTCAAACGGCATTGTGTCGTCACGTGCGGCCACTTGCTTTCTCTCAACAGAACACCGTTAGTACCTCTTTCCTCTGTGCAACCGCACAACTTTCCTACATTCGCCAAAGAAATCATGCTTCCCTTTTTACTTTTTCACCCGTTATATTTTTCCAAAAACAAACACTTCCGCCGATACTGCCACCATTTCTTTTTACAATTACATACATTATTATCATTTCGTGATATTCATTCTGCTCACTTATTATTCGCGCTACAATATAAAACGGTTACATAAACTTCAAGAAAATTATCTTCCTTTTTTTTCTTTAAACCAACTACATACAACACGATTCATCCTTTTTCATTTTATTCGCATACCGTAATACTCGGTTCTTTAGATTCAGTGAAAAATATGTAACACAATCTATATCTTATTCGTTTAAAGTTTAGATAACGATATCAAAACTACCTTTTATAAAACACAAAATATAAAATTTTTTATTTTTATTTAGATAATACATCTAATATTAAACAATAAGATAATACCAAGCCTAACCTTCAATTCAGGAACGTAGTAATCAAGTAAACATTCATTCTTTCACATTGTATAATAAACAGATGCATAGATGTGTATATATGTACACACGTACACACACGCATAAGAGAACCACACAACCTTCCTCCTGAAGTATCTTGTTTAACACTGATCAGGTAACGATCCACTGAAACACCATCTCCTAATTTACATAACCTTATTCCATCTATTATCACATATACACATATATATTAGTTTCAATCAACCACATGCAGCCCCTTTTCAGATATTTCCTATCTCATAATTAGGGAATGAATGTAAATACTACTTTTTAGTTATATGTATAGACAAATTTACAGAACCCGTATAGAAAATGACATGTCGAAGGAATACCGCCAAAAGTGCGTGACGTATAACAGTTATGTATGTATATAATTCTCAAAAACATCCTGTATTTTATTATCTGTCTTTTATTTATCAGTATTTAGTTATCAGTATTATCTGTATTATCGTTTATTTATATAAAAAAGAAATTAATTCGATTAACATAATATCTAACACTCAAAATATCACCTATTAGAACATTATATGTACTTACTTTCTGTACGTCCTGCATTAAAGAAAAGTGTTTCTGGCTTCTACTTACACACCACATGCACACACACACCCGTACGTGCATACACGCGCTCACACACACGCGCGCGAGTGTA